GGCCTGCGGTTGCCAGCATGAAATTACATGACGAATCCGAACGCCATAGAGACATACTTAGCCGTATCGTAAGCCAACGGTTGGGCACGAGTGCGCAGAAGGGGAACTTCTCTAACTCAGCATTTCCAGATCTGTAGGGAAAAAGGCTCTATTTCTGCACGGGATCTACCGTTCCTTCAGCTTTTTCGCCTTTTTCCTCCCTATTTAACCCCCCCCTGCGGCCATTTCAACAGGCACAGTACCAAACTTATCATGCCAGTTATCCTGCCCAAGATGCTTCGCAGGGGCTCGCGCGCGCCAGGCGGCTATATCGAGCACGTCCCTCCATGGTCAGAGACCGTCACCGCGGCCGAGTCCTATTTTAGCGGCGTCCCTGCATGAGTAACGAAAAGCGCTGCGTCCTCGCTAAAAAGGCATGATTGACACGCCCTCCCTAGACCCAACCCATGCGGAACTCGAGAGCTGTTCTGTCACGCCAGTCGGCCTTTTACACGAGTTTTTTTTAATATTATTTATTCCACTGTGACTGGCTGACTTAGCCGCACTAGATGACGTGAAGACGGGGGGGGGGGGGGGTGGGGGGTTGGGGGGGGGGGGGGGCGGCGGGGGGGTGGAGAACATATATTACGTAAGCTTAGATGACGGCAGGAGATCGCCCTTCGCTGCATAAGAACGAAGCAATCCGGAGAACGATGGCAGTGACGCTGCAAAGTTCCTCGTCTATAATGCCCTCTGCATGTTTATTTGTGGCTCTTTTTCGCTTAAGCACATTTAGCACGACCATAAGTTCTGCATTGAAACGCGAGCCACGCATAATGTGCCAGAGGTCGTCTCAACCCGTCTAGAAGGTTATTCAAGGTGAAACGCTTTACTAGCGCGGTCAAGAGCAAACACTCCCCTCCTGGAACATGCCGACAGTGTAGCTATGCGGTGCACTCTTAACCACCTCTGCCGCCATCACCTCCATTGCATCCTGTGTATGAATTCTGAACCTGTGATTACAGAAGAGATTAAGATAATGGTGGTTAGTCTACACCCACAACGAATGAACTGTGCATGCGTGAATACCTGGCCACAATCTGCGTAACTGCACGTGTCCCTATGCGATCTCAAGAATTCCGGTCATAAGCCACGCCTTTCAGCGAAGCTAAAAAAGTTCATCGGCATCCTTTAGGCATTAATGGCCAACTCTGAAAATCAGGCCAGATTTGAAAGCGCTTTTTCTCCGAACTCAAATTTGGTTGGAAACAACTCATGGGAGTGGTTTGACTTTATAAACACGAATGAATACCACATTTGCTCTGAGCGAAATTGCATACACTGTCTGGTACCGATGTCAAACTAGCTCAAATACCTCCCTTTGCTGAAAACATCTCTAGGGTAGCTTCACCCTTGAACACGAATGGTTCTGCACACTAAAACATCTCGGCATGCGCGCCACAGGTACCGGCATCGCAGGTTCGCAGAGCTGACGACCTATGGCGCGAGAGTCAGACGGTCTCGTGCCGAGCGGATTCGTTCTCGTGTTCGCACGGTCAAACAGTATTATAAAATGACACAAAAACCCTTTGAACCGTTTCACTAACCTCTCCAAACCAAATTAGAAGACATGGCTCAGGAAAGACATGGCTTTCAGGACTCGTGAACAACGGTTTTTGGAAAGCCATAAGTAAGAGATGGTGCCAAGCTGATGAGCTGTTGCAAACTTATCTGTCATAAGTTTTTGAGATGACTTCATTATCATAACCGCTGTTTACGGTCATAATTCACGCTCCGAAAGTCATCACAAAACGCTGAATTATTCGCAAAAAGTCTTGACTTCAGTCGAGACTTGCACTCGCATTTCACGCGCCCCTTTACTCAGCAAAAATAAATAACATATAGTGAGCCTGGATAAAGACTTCTGCTAACAACTCAACATTGTTGTGATGACTATTTGTCACAAGAATTTGCTCAGGCGGGGTTGAACCCGTTCTCCATGCTAATCGAGTGAAAGCGCTATCAGTTACATCACCGAGGTAGCCTTTCGTCACTACTGGGCACTAGTTTCTGGATTATGAGACGGAGGTGATGTAGCGGCTAAGCAGAGCACGGTTCAGAGATCAAGTCCTCGGGTCGCTCCCCCCCTCAAACCAACCTTCTACCCTCGGGACGGTAAATTGGTACCAGATTCGTGTAGGAGGATAAGAACACTTGTACATCGGCTGGCACCCGCAAGTCATTGTATAGGCCACATCGCATTCAATTAGGCATTAAGATTCTGAATAAAATAAAATAAAAATGTGATATTCAAGAATTTCATTGCATTTTGTTTCAAAGTCCAAAATTTTAAATTTACTCTGAAGGCTGATTATTTTACTATTTAATGGAAGAAGGAAGAATGAAGTAGGTAGTAGAGGCGCGCGCATCCCAAAAAGGATTGATGAGCGGCGAAGACTTTATCCGTTATCCTTTATTTTTTTCGAATTTTATATATCTTCCTCAATAGGTCAAAGAAGAGGCACCTACTTTTCATCTGGCAAGGTGAGTTAAGGCTTCTCAGTACCCGAGATTCGTATTCGAACTCGCTGTAAAGCGCAGTGAAGAGAAAGGAGTTTCACATCCCTTGAAACCCTGAATAGAGGCTTAGGTATACACTATGCTGGGATAAAGTAAAAAAGCTCCTCTCTTCAGGAGCATCGCCATCGTTGTCCTCGTGTGAAGGGGGCATTGTATTCGACGACAGCCTCGAAGAGCAAGAAGTTTGTGCTAAAACCTATCCACTGCTCAGACCAAAAAAAAAAGCCATCACACATTTCAGGTCTGCACTTTGTTTCAAGAGATTGGCCACGAAAACTGCACTACTCCGTCACTTCGATATCAGTTCCGATCAGTGAACGTGGAGGTAACACCTAGTCCAACCGTTCTTGCAGAATGGAGGTCAACGTTATTAGGTCATCTCATTCAAAATCCCAACGGTTCTACTCGAATAAACAAAGAGGAAAATAGAAAATATGTAATATTTTGGGCTCTGAAGTTAAGTAGAACGCTTCCTTTGCAGTCCATGACTCGCTCCCGTGCCGCGGACCTTCGGGCCTGTAATTTCGTTTTTTTCAAGCAAGAGCGAGTAAGATTGCATGATTGATGCTCAATTTTCGGCGAATGGACAAAACGTAACGTTTGTTGTCGAAGAGTACTCTCGAGTGACCAGAACAGTTGAAGTCAAACGGCTTTATTTTGGGCGAATGGGGCGATTGAACCCGACGATTGTATTCCCTGTATAGCCCCTAAAAGTCACAGTGTGGGAGTCCTTCGCTATGATGGTCATCCACTTGCGCCGACGTAAGCGCCGACGTAATTCCTCATGGTAGAACTCGGGCGGCTCCTCATCCGCATTCATACAAAATTGACGATTGTGGGTTTTGGCCGAGTCCAGACCAATCCATCGATATCTAGGGCCGGGGTTATCGTTTTCACAGCCGTGAATGATTCTGCATGCTGATGACATTACTGCTAATGAGGCATAGAATTGGTAACTAGGGCGTTCGTGCTTCCACAAAGGAAATTAGGTACGCGACAATGGCATCGCGCGACGCCTCTTCACCACACCCAATTTAACGGACGTACTCAGCAGGCAGTTGCAGCAGGGATGCCACACTAGCGTGGGAAGCTCGACAAAGGTCCAGCCTCTGGATCAAATATTCAGCGCTTGACTTCATCCACTCTTTTTTCTTGTGCAGGATGAACATTATGGGACCATCCACGACAACAAATTTTTCCTTTCTTCCTTCTTCGGGCTCCTGAACCGAGTAACCTCCCACTTGCATTTTGAGAACACCATTACACGCAACTACTGGTCCGGCGCAGGTCAAATTTGAGCGGCGCACTTTCCCCTTATGACGCCTGATTTGAAAATCCGGCGCTGATTTCACCACTCGGGCTTCTTTTCAATTTCTCGAGAACTTCTTCTGTGGTAGATTCGTTTCACAGATAGCTAAAGGTACTAGCCTCCAAATGATATAGTAGCCCGCTGCCCGATCCCCTTTGCTTTTCTGCCATTCCTCTATATGTCTCTTTTGAATGGGATGATCTAATAGTTTCATTTCGAACTGAACGCTCTCAAACCGAATTAAGAACTGGAGGTTCCGAACCGATGCGATACAATTCTTCAGATCAAGATTGGCACGCGCTGACTTTCGATAACTTTATAACTTTCAAACTTGTCATCTCACATATATTCTTCACAAAAAGCAAATATCATCTATTATTTGTTATTTATTATTGTTATTCTGGAGACGCACTGATACGTTGGAGTACTGAACTCGGCCCCTTTAGCCTCGCCCACGCTTGCGTTTTTTGCATACTTTTTTCATTTTAATGATTTCTCCAAAATCTTCTCTTTTTGGGCTGAAACAGGCAGCTCTGCCCGCTACGAGAAGCTCCGCCTTTCGCACAGAAGTCCCGTCCGCTTGGAAAACGATCGGAATCGGCACGACAGATCCTCAAGTTAGGATCTCGCTCGTCACTCGGGACAAACACTGCCTTGTTTTTTGTTCCAGGCTACAGAGCTAGACTTTGACCTGGCACTCGAGACTCTAACGTGCCCTTTCCAACAATTGTTCAGAAGTGGGCGGGGTTTCTGCGAGGCGGAGCTTGTCATTGTGGGCGGAGCTACCTGTTTCAGACTAGAAATTTTGGAGGAATGGAAGCTATGCGAAAAGACGCGAAAGTAGGCGTGGCCGAAGGGGCGGAGTTCAATGTGCCAGTGGATAAATGTGTATCTATGAATATAATAGTTTCGTGAAGAATGAGTGAAAAGAACGACTTTGGAAAAAGCTACAAAAATTTGGAATTTGCATGTGTCCGATTCGACTTGAAGTGTCCGACTTATTTGAAAAGTGTCCGATCTAACATAAAAATGTTGTATGTGAAATTCTCGGAATGAAATCACATGTGGTCATTGAACATTTCAGTGGAATTACTTCTGTGAAGGCGCAAAGACTATTAAGAACTCGATTTCAATGCAGATGATTGGCGTGCTGATCGGTTCAGCATTGTTCGGTCAAATCAGCGACTCATTCGGTAGACGAAAGGTGAACTCACGAGAGAAAATCAGTGTGAAGCAATGAATTAAACGGCAAGTTGGGACTTTTCAGGGAATGTTAGTGACAATGACAGGAATGGCTATAGGATGGATATTTGTGGCAAAATCGCCTGACCTCCGTCTGTTTACCATAAGCCGCACTGTTGTCGGATTTTTCACCGGTGGAAGCATTTCGTGAGTATTATTGAAATGGCCACCCCCAAACTCTTGTTTTTTGTTTAGGGTGCTGAACGTCTTCATAATGGAGAACATTCCCAAAAAACATCGAATGTGGATTAATATGGCAATCACCTTGGTCACCCAACATGCTGCCCTTGGCGGCTATGGCATGGATGACCGCTGAGTGGCGCTCCTTAGCTCTGCTCAACGCCATCGTCTGCATACCCGGTCTTGTATTTTGCTTGTAAGTTTCGATCATAGAAGGCGATTCGAATGACCTCACAGATGTAGCCCTTTCAGCCTGTGCATCCATGAGTCACCGAGATGGCTGATCCATCGTGGGAAGGTTATCAAAGCGCAGGAGATCATGCACCGCGAGTTTGGCACCTCGAAAGAGGGAATCATTCACGAAAATCTACATGACGTCGTTAGGGGAGAATATGAGGTACGATGAGAGTAAAATGAACGGAAAATAAATGCTAGCATAAAACATTTCCCGACGTTGTTCGAGTTCGGGAAATGTATTGGGGGAGGGGGGAGGAAGAAAGAGATTTCGCCCTTGTTTAGTTCCTCTAATTACTTCATGTCATTGACGGATTTCACTCTGGAGACACCTTTCAGCTCCTGTGAAGCAGCGAAATTATTCAATCGAGACACTCTGATCAAAGGAACTCACAGGACTTGACAAAGTGGTCTGTACAAGTTTCGCTGAGTACCATTTGGTATCCCCACCAAGCGGGGCATAAAATTTTGAATGAGGGCGTAGGCACGGAGGCTGCTTACTAATATGCGTGCCCGGAAAGTTCTCAGCGTTTGGGGGTGTTTCACTTTGAACGATCGTAACTTTTTTAATACTCATCGGATTTAATCGAAATAGGCACCATTCGAATCAGCACACTTTTGCCAATGTGACAGCAGTCGAGAAATCCCATAAAGGAAAAACTGGGTGGTCGAGAATCCACGAAATCTACGAAGGTCTTTTTTGCCTGGTCCTAATTGATGAAGTATTTTCCAGCAAGGAAGTTCTGAAAATGTTTGAAAAGGTGATAGTCGGTTGGTGAAAGGTCTGGAGAATATGGTGGGTGAGGTAGAACTTCAACTCCCAATTCGTTCAATTTATGGATAGTGATTTGTGAAACGTGTGGGCGGGCGTTGTCATGCAAAGGAATCGGACCCTTTCTTTTGATAAGTGTTGGCTGCAGCTGACAAAATTTTCGGTACATTTCGTCGATTCCTTCACAGTAGGGTTCTGCTGTGATGGTTTGGCCTGGTGATAAAAAGTTATAGTGGATTACACCAGCCGATGACCACCAAACCTGACCAGAATTTTTTTCGTGAGGGTTCGGCTTTGAAAATTACCTCGGTGGTTCCTCCAAATCCAACCACTGTCCGGAACGTCTCCTGTTATCATACATGATCCATTTTTCATCACAGGTGACAAATCCGTTCAAAAACGGGTCAATTCTTTTGCGCAAAAGCAGTGAAGAAGGAACCTCGAGACGTGCCGATTCCTGCCGGTCACTCCGATTGTGGGGCACCCAATTCGAGTTTTTTCACCTTCCCAATGCGTTCCAGACCATCTGCAACAGTGGATTTGCCAAGGCCTAGCTCTTCTGCTATCTCTCGAACTGTTTGGGATGGGTCAGCCTCCAAAATCCCCTAAAATCCTCGTCAGATATTGCTTTAGGTCGACCGCTATGAGGTTCATCTTCAAGGCTGAAATCTCCAGAACGAAATTCGTTGAGCCATTGCAGCACAGTGCTTTCTCAAGTGCATCTATTGGGGCCCCCACACTCTGGTAATTTGCTGTGCTGTTTCGGTTGCGGATTGCCCCAATTTATAGTCGAAGAAAAAATCGTCCGAAGTGCTCTTTTCACATGCTTGAAAAAAATCTTGAAAAAAGGGGGTTTATCAAGCAATGGTGAAACGGCAATTACACCATCAGATAGAGCGCAAGAAATTCTCTACAAGATGGGCTACTGAGAAGCAAGGCAGAAAGAGTTTTTAAACAGCAGTGAATGTACAAAAAATAGGTGCACAAAACGCTGAGAACTTTCCGGACCCCGGTGCGTTCCGGACTGAACCTACATAATATAGGAACAGAACTGCCCTCGAACTCGACAGAGCCGACGTCCTAATCGGCGAAATACCAAACTTTATTTTGCTCATAATTCGACACTCTTGTGAAAAACTCCCAATAGGTTTGCGACACTCCGTTCGGCACCACACCACGGACCTAGAAGGGTCGAACATTTGGGGGTCCGCCCTATGCTGGACGCGCCATCATTGCACCCTTCTATTTGCCAAGACGAGAACCGAACTACTGTCGAACTACTGTATCCACTACCTTTAACACACATTCTGTCAGTATTTCACGGCTGACACTCTATAGGGCGATATCTGCTTTAATCTGAGGTGGGGGGGGAGGAGCTGACGGGGCGAGGCATTTTGCTCTTTTGCTAGTCGCTTTTATTAGATGATGTTAATCAACAAGTCTCACCTGAGTGAGCCTTATGCCCTTGTGAAGTTGCGGAATAGTGGAAATAGTGCTAGTGAGTCATATTGGCCACAGGAATTCACAGATTTTCACAAGGTAGCCTGTACAAGCTTCGCAGAGTATTATTTGGTGCCTCACCAAACCAAACTGCGCAAGAAGTCCGATCTCTATTGAGAAACTGATCCAATTTTTCCCTAGATCAACTTCAGACAACTCCATCTTTCACGATATTTATTCCAGTTGATGCTTCGGGCCGATTCACAAAAGCGCCGCTATTCATTCTATCACCTATTCTACTCTCCAAAACTCGCCATCACCACCACTGTGCTAGCGTTCAGTTAGTGAGTTGGATTTGTTTTTCAAGAGACACTGCACCATTACCTAAACTAAACTATAAAACCAAGATAAACTCTTCTCTTTGGTTGGGAAGGGCTTTCACCACTTAAAGGCAGTTGGCACGATAAATCCCCCAAGACGACTAGGATCAACTCCTGGCAGGATAGAATTCCGCGACCCTGGGCAGGCGCTGCATAGCGGTTTCCCCGAGGAAGGTGCCCTTATAAGGGCCCTATCAAGCCACAACTTTACGTCCCAAACGCCCGCCACGCCCGCCCGCCCACAAATGGACGACCGTTCCTGACGCTCTAATCGATTCATTTGCTAAGCAAATTATGAAGCGAAGGGATTGGTATGAAGCGGCCGTGATGCTGCATACATGGGTACATATGCAGCCGTATCTTCGGTAGCGGTGATTGGTAAGATGCCTACGGGAAACTCGTCCGAAATCGATTTACAAGTCACTGAGAACGGAGGCTTTTCTTCGCAGGATTTTGACCGTTTCACTCCGTTCTTTCGCCATTTCCCCACTATACAGCGCCCTACTAGCATTTTAGGCTAAGTAGGAAACCATCGTGCCAACTGCCTTTAACGTGCTAAAGGACTCTGATTTTTCATATTACCGTTTCCGCCCACCATTTGATACGCCATACATGCACACCACGCGCACTGCTCGCCTGAGCCTCTCATCCAGGTAGTGTTTGGTTAGTCTGATTTGTCCAGTGGTGCATTTTTGAAAAGACTTTGGACGCAGTACACGACGTGGCACAGCCATGGTGAGAACGCGCTGACGAGCGGTGTTCAAGGCGTGACCGTACGCCATGTCGAATGGTGCGCGGAGGCGGTCACTAACATCAAGCGATCACAAACCTCTAACTTCCTCGTCATACATTTTGAAACGTCGAAAACGATACAAATTCGTAACTGCAAACCTGTTTCACTTATACACGAACAGAACGACCTCTAATAGAAGATATTCCTCGCTTATCCTACTGTCAAAGGACACCCTACCTCTGACAAAAAGATATAATCGTGTAATGCGCTTTCGAGGGCACACTCCATGATAGCAGGACTTGGGTGGCTGGGATGGGAGGGGAATAGAAATGGGAAATAGAAGAGACAAAGAAGAGAAGAGGGAATGTAAAAAATAAGAGGAAGAGGAAATATACGAAAGACAAATGATTTGAGAGAAACTCACGCGCTCGCAAACGCGTTCATTCTAAAATGGGGACTGCGGGTACTGCAACCAACAGCCCACAGCAAAGGGCCAAAAAAAGAGCATTCTGACGACGACTACGCATTTCCGTACCCACTCACCTCTCTACATATGTCTCTGCCTCTGTTTGGCTCGAACCCTCACAGCTACGTACTCGGAAACACCCCACTTTTCCTTCAGGCATGGACTATAAGACTCTAGTGTGTTTGCAGAACACATAGAAGATGCCTGATTGGCACTTTTAATCGTTCATTTCGCTATTTGAATGTCTAGATTGATAAAATCGAAAACCGTAACTGGGCAAGAATACCAGCATGCTCCCTTCTTCATGTTATGAAATACTGATAACCAACCTCGCATAAAAGAAGTGGGGCTGCTCCACGCCCAGCAACTATGGAATAATGACTAGCGCTGCACAACATCAGAGTCTTCGAGACCTGAAAAGGAACGGACATCTTCATAATGCAGAATTAATCTGTGATAGAAAGCTAGGAAACAGGTAATCACACCAGAGAGAAACTAGTCATCCTTAGTGAAATCTTGGGCTCATAAAAGCTAATGGAAGGCGACTGAAGTAAGCCGCGTTCAAAGGCACAATCGGCGAATGCAAGATGTCGACAGAGGGGTTCAAATGTGAACCTGTAGGTGCTTATGGACTAACCAGTAAAGAAAAAGCACCTAAACCCTTCAAACAGACCCCAAATAAGAACCTGCTGATCCTCACCCAATGAATGGGTAGTAGTATAATAGCAAGACTCACATACTGCGCCTCAGTCCGAGGAACAAATTACGGATCGGTTCTCGCCCAGACCAATCGAGCCCTCGTCCCTCCGTGGAAAGTATTGCTCCCAGACGCGTTGGGAGGATAAAAACCACACTGACTAGCCCGAGAAATTCATTACATGAGCCACATCGCGTTCACACTGCTATTCTGAATGGCAGAAGAGAGCATGCCACATCCCAGTAAGGGATTCATTAACGGCGAGAGCTTTAACTTTTTTTAAATTTCTGTATTATGGGTGGGGCCAGACTAAAAAAAGTGTGGTCAGAGTTCAGCCACAAGTCCCCCGTGCTCTTACCACGCCCTTTCGAGTGAAGAAGTGCACGAGTGAAGAAGGCGAAGCGCTGCGTCTGT